AGTAATTACTAAAATGAGGAACATGTATGGAAAAACATCTTTTGGTTTTAATAATTCATCCTTATTTCACATACCATATTCACCTATCACAATTTCATGAGAGGGAATGTTCACATTTTTAATAAAAAAGATTCAAAGTTCCATTAAATAATGGAGGAAAGTTAAGTTCTCCATTATCTTAACCCACTGACATGAGATTTTTCAAATTTTCCATAATTACCACCTATGGTATTAAGGATGCTCATTAAAAATATAAAAAATGAAATGGCTAGGGATTTCTACTATCTATAGTTTTTTTTTAAAGGAAATGTAATTACTATATAATTATCCCTTTATTTCAGTCAAAGTTACATAACCTTCAAACTTAATATGATAAAAGTTTTTTTCAAGTCCTCTCCCAATTTCCTAAAATATCTTCATGGTAACTGCTGTCAGCTTATGGCGGTCAGTTCCTTGCTTCAATAGGAAGCCTGTGTCACTGCTTGATAACATATACACACCATCAACAATTCTTTTCAGAGATCTCTGGTGTCCCATTCACCTATTACTCTCCCACCATTCTACATCAGAGAGATGAAAGGATTCAGAAAATGAAGTCCTTCGTCAAGCAAGGACTTAGATAAGCCATAGAGCTTGGGACTGCTGATTCCCACTGGGCAGGGGCTATTGCTAAAGTCCTGGGGCAGGCTATACAGGCGATAAACCCATCCTGTTTACTTGCTCACTGACATACATTAGAGTGGGACTCCCCAGCCTAACTCCTCAGGTGCCAATTTAGGATTCCATCGTTTAATTTTGATAGAATCAACTGGGAAGACTCCCTTGGCTCACTGGTCCCACCTCATATCCAGTCTTTTGCTTGGACAAAACAGATTGTTTCAGGAGCTAGAAACTTATCCCATACCAGAAGTCTTCTAAACCCAGGGTGATAGGGTTGGTTCTTAAAGTGGAAATCAGCTTCTCCAACTTCCATCTTTTAATCCTAGAGCTGCTTATTGGGATTACACACAGAATATGGCCATTTCCTTCTCAATTCAGTAAACATTGAAAAATTAAGATATTTTTGGAGTCCTAAAATTTTAAAGCTACAGGGGAATTTAAGAGATTTTCTCTTTTAATCCTTCACATCAGCCCAGATGGGTGGAGTGACTTGTCCACATCACACAGGAGTTAGAACTGAGCATGACTCCCCCACGGTCTCTTCCCTTATTAGCTGGTCAATGCAATGTCGCCTTTACACCTGTAGTCAAACCACTGGTGCCTCTACTTTGTCCAACCCTTCCACTCCCCTCCAGGATTTTACTAGACAAATTGTCAGCTTTACCTGGAAATAGTTGTGGAAATGACTGCAATTATGTTAACACTGTAATATGGAAACACCTGTTTATCAACATTTTATATGCTTTATTGAAAGTTGACAAGTGCAACAGTTAAATACAGTGACACCTTATAACTGTGTAGAGAACATGCACAGAAACATATGCATATAACTACTATACAGGTAATATGCAGAACCCCCTACTGGGAAAATCCATTTCATTAGCTAGAACTGATCATTTTTCAAAGTATTCAACCAGCTCAATCGAAAGACTTCAATAAACAGGGATTTACTTCAGGATATTCAGCAGCTAGAAGATGTCAGATTACACAATGTGAGTAACTGTGCCAAATTCTTACAATTTCTCTAGGTGTGGTTTTTGTCATGTAGCAAGTTTTTATGTAGATTGGTATATAAAAGACAGCCCACACCTCTTCAGACAGCCAATGAAACATCTAAATTTCAATCTGTACAACCTAAATAGTAGTTACAGTCCTCTATTGTACAAAATAGTTACACTACATACACAAATATACAATAAGCAAAACAACCTTCATAGTCAGATAGCCTAGGTCCCAGCTACCTGTCAACGTTTTGTCACTCTAATAGTTTTGTGTCATCCACTGTTTCAGTACAGGCACAGTACTAGTGTTTTTATGGATTTTGGTGACAGTTGTCAGTTGGTACAATGAACTCTGTTCCCCCTCAGTTAAGTCTTTACTTTTACCTCCCTGTCACATTCCTCATGGGGGAGGAGAGGAGAGAGGGAAGTCCAGTGAGGAGCTCGCGCTTCATACCCCGAGTAGCACACTACCTGCGAGCAGGAGAGAACGCTGGGAAGAGGGGGTGGGGAGCGGGAGGGATGGAAAGGCACACAGCTCCTCAGCATGAATAAAACCATTTCTCAGTTATCTGCCAAGCTGCATCAGGTCCCAGTACATCCATACTAATTCTCTGATTAACCTTTAATTCACCCAACTAAGAAACTTCTTCAAGCCAAAAGCATATGAGTGTTTAATACTGGAAAAAAGAGATAATGGCATGTGTCAGTCTCACGTCTCTTCGCAGCGAGCAATGAAATGGGTGACGGTGGAGGCGGATCCTCCCTAGAACATCTTCTCCGGTCTGTCCAGTTCACACGCAGCAGCCAGTTCTGCGCGGGCACAGGCGGCTACGCGGTGGGTCCTGAGCCCTGGGACGCCGGCTGGGCGGGGGGCTGCGTGGTCCCCTGTGGCTGCGTGGTGGCAGGCGGGGAACCAGTCTGCAGCTGGGCCTGAAACTGGGCGAGCTGCTCAGGACTGGCCAGTGTCTTCAGCAGATTGTTTTCCTGCTCCAGCTGGGAATTTTTCTCTATTAGTTCTTTGATTTGCTCTTTCAGGACCTCCACTTCCTCTCTAACGGCATACATCAAATGGCTTTTCACCAGATCCTGAAAAAAGAGGAAATAAAAATGGATTTAACTTACTATTTACTGGACTCCGGGTTTCTAAGGCGTTATTTTGCATGGCTTTCCCTATTTCCATAGCCTGCCTTGAAAGTAGAGGTCACTTGGGGAAATCTGAACACAACCACAACTGTACAATACTGAAGTTTAATGCTTAAGTGATAGAGCTTTAAAAGTCTGCTTTCTCTGCAGACGTTAGCATATAGTCAGCTTTTCTACTCGAGAGGGCAAAATGCCCGTGGCTCTCCAGCGCGGGCCCTGGGTGCCCAACCGAGCCGGCCGCAGCGCCCCGGCTTCTCCGCCCCATCCCTCCCTCCGCCCGCCCCGAGCCGCCTCCCTCAGCACCGGCTGCAGCCAGTTCCTACAGAGCATGTTGCCGCATTTTCTTCCCTCCACCGCCCCCCTCCTTTTCCTGATTAAGCTGACATCACAGAAACCTGGGCAGCCGTCGCAACCAATGGGAGTGCGAGTTATTTATAGCTCCGAATTAAAGGTTCGGAGTTTGCCTAGCAACAGTGGGCAGAGAATCCCGTGAGAAGAGCCACAGGCGCTGCTCCAATAACAAAGAACAGCCAAGGCGGAAATAAAAAATAGGAGAAATCCAGGCGCAGGCTGAGAAAACAAAACTTTTCTCCAATTCTTCTTCATTGTGCAGTAGCCTGCACCACTGGGGATCCGCTTGCGCCCCATCTAGCAGGCCCTTACCCAAGGTCCCCACTTCTAGGGCCCTTCCCCCCTCGGCTCCCTAGTAAAATCGTAGGAGTCCTAGTAAAGCCACATCGCTGAAGATGTGCCCACGACCAACCCGCGGAGCCGCTGGGCCGGCGCTTCCCTAACAAATCCCCAGCAAAAGGGGACACCGTGGAAAAAAAACACCCGACATTAAGTGAAATAGGTTCAGGAAAGGAGAACATTCAATACCCTCAGGGCCCCTTTCTCCCTCCCTGGCTGCCGAGGTAGGCGGCTTCATGCTGGCAGCATGCAGGCAGCGCCGGCATTTCTAGATGTATCCAAGGCAATCATCATCTGGACTCAGGGATGGACTGGTTCCACAAGACACCTCGTTTTTTGTGCTGTGCCCACATTTAGTACAAATGACTTTTAATCAGTACATACCATAGCTTGCTCGATTTTGTTGTCGATAGCTACCACACTTGCACCAGAGGAGCTGAAAAAGAGGGGGAAAAAGGTTAACGATAAATGGAATTTATCTTAAATGTCCAAGGTAAAAAAGGATCTCCCAATTTTGTGATGTTACAAACATCACATTTTGAATATTCTTTCAATGTAACGTATCACCCTCCAGCCACTCTCTTCCTAACGAATATCCAGGCATTTCCCTTTTCAGTGAGCCACAAAGCGCTAAATTACATAATGTGAGGAAAGCCTGTTCTCTGGCCAGACCTACAAAAATAAGGCTATTCCGAACATTTCAAAAAGCAACATCCATATCACCACGATCTCTCAGCAATGGACAAAGGAATTCGCCTGGCTATCTTTCACCTGCATTATCACAACTATCTCACGAGTAAATTTAAAGAAACTCTCCCAGCCGACATTTACCTATTGTCAAGTCTCACAGAAGCGTTTTCAGTACCCAGCAAGGATGACAAGAAAGAAATTGAAAAATGTCTCAGCTGGTAAACTCCTAGATCCATCGCCACTGGTCTACACCATTGGGATTTCATGCAATTGCAGCCAAAAAACACCCTCACGGAAAAAAGGAGGGGACCACAAACAGCCTTGTTTGAGCTAGATTAAAATCTTCTAGCTTTCGGCAGCCCAGGGAGAAACAGTAGCCCTAATTTAAAGGAACCCGGCTTCTGGGGCTTGGCGATCGCAGGAAGATGCAGATCCCAGTGCTGAGCGGAGAAGCCTCCCAGATCGGCCGCCCGGCTCCACTCAGCTCTAGTCCCGGTCTCCCGGTCTTAGTGCAAAATATATGCAGGGAAGAGCCGCGCCGATTGGCCGGCACACCACTGGAACCGCCCCCTTCTCTCTGTCCTCCTCCCGCTTCCCCGCCTTCCTCCCCCACCCGCCCCAGCCTCCAGATCCCCCTCGTCGGTGGGCTGGCCCAGGCCGCGCTCAGAGGGACTGGGGTTTGGGGCCACTGAGGCTTCCACCGCAGCCGCAGGAGGCTGGACTGCTGCGCCAGCAGAAAACGTGGAGGGTCCCTGAAAGATACGGTCGGAGCCCCGCACATGCTTACGTTTAAAGGAGTCAGACCCCGTCCCCGAGCTGCCTGTCCCCGTGGCTGCTGAACGGCGAAAGCTTCCTATTTGCAACCAGAACTGTCTGAGCTACTGGGCATGCCCAGTCCCACCGCTGTAAGACTTGGAGGAGCTCGAGTGTCTCAATTTCAATTATCTAGTTCTTACCGGCAGTGGTAATAGGAGGGTTTTTATAGGCGGCTTTATTTTTAAGGATAATGACCATAGTGCAAATAATACTTTATTTTAGAGGGAAAATCACATTTGCTTTTGAGAGATACTGCCTGTGAATTTATCAATTGTAGAAACAAAACAAAGAACATTATATATTCTTTGCTAGGCATATAAAAATTGAGTCAAAAAAACCCCCACTGGATTCCAGTGGATATTCCCAAAATGTTCCTAGATATGCTTTCGCCCATTTACAGCTAGAAAAGTCAGTCCACAGGTTGAATCCTATATAGACCTATTTTCAGTAAGTCTCTAAGGCAAATTTCTGGAAGTCTCAATTCCTCTAAGGCTAAATCCTATCAGCCTTCTTACATCAGAGCAGAGGGACTGAAATATTGTAAAGTATACATTCAAAGCACACAACTCCTTCAAGTTATTAGTCTCTTTGCCCATTTGAGTGTCCAGAACCAATAAAAAGAGGAATTTGATGGTGGTTAAAAATAGTTAAATAGCTAATAGATGCTGCATACTCACCTCTATTTCATCCTTATGGCCACATTGACCAAATAATTCCTTTCTTTACATCGAAATCTGGCCAGATTGACCAAATAATTCCCTTTACACCGAAATCAAGAGATCTGGGCGTAAAATAGCTCAATCACTTACAAAATTGCCCCTATTAATTTAAAATATTTGCAAGGATGCATCAATTAATGTTACAGCTTAATATACTATAATTCTAAGGCCTTAAATTTGCTTAATTATACAACATAAGCAGTTTGCAATTCAATACATTTGAGAAGAAAAATTTAACCTCTACAATACTGCCCTCTAATGGCAAGATACTATAAAAACAAACAAAACAATCTACAAAGTTCTTAGGGAGACCTCTCTAATTCACAGATAAATTGTGTCATCACAAATAATTCCAACATAAAATTTGACCATAGAACATATATGTATGTTATACACACAAATATGAACAAACACGTACACAGTCTTCTTTCCCAAACATTTTCTCGCAAGCAGCATCCTTTCCTAAAATTGCCATCAGAGCCCTTTTTAAACAGTCTTTTAAGTTGACCCCAGGGAGGCAGGAGGGCATTTGGTTTTAGAATCTGTCCACCAAAGCGATTAAGAAGGAATTTTGGCTAGGGTTATAGATGATTAAGATAGTAATTCTCTTTTGAGTTAAAAACCCAAGTGTGACTATAAGGCAATGCGATTCCTTTTTATTGAAAAGTTCATTATTATTCTCCAAATTTTAAGGCTTTGCTTTTGTATAATAATATTTGTTAACATATTTATAATTTATAAAAATTAAATATAGTCTCTTATAGGATACAATTTTTTGAAAAAGGTACCCATTTTCAATAAAAGCAAACAGTAAGTAGAAGCTTAAAAGTCATACTCATTTGGGCAGCAGGCCTGTAGGTTCCTATGTCTATGAATGCTAAACAGAATTATTATTTATTACATGATAGTTTCTATATTTTGAAAGTTAAAGTTATGCCTAAAGCCATCTGTGTGATAAGGTCCATTTATGTATTTTAACTAAATGTCAACTTCATAGAAAAAAGGTATTAAAGAAAGCACCACTTATGCTATAAAAAGAGCTTAAAAAACAAAACTCTAAGGTCATACAAAAAAATGAATTAAAAATTCCCAGCTGAGGCCGGGCGTGGTGGCTCACGCCTGTAATCCTAGCACTTTGGGAGGCCGAGGCGGGCGGATTGCTCAAGGTCAGGAGTTCGAAACCAGCCTGAGCGAGACCCCGTCTCTACCAAAAATAGAAATAAATTAATTGACCAACTAAAAATATATATACAAAAAATTAGCCGGGCATGGTGGTGCATGCCTGTAGTCCCAGCTACTCGGGAGGCTTAGGCAGTAGGATCGCTGAGCCCCGGAGATTGAGGTTGCTGTGAGCCAGGCTGACGCTACGGCACTCACTCTAGCCTGGGCAACAAAGTGAGACTCTGTCTCAAAAAAAAAAAAAAAATTCCCAGCTGGAGTTAAAAAATTTACTGAATTAACTGAGTTTTATGTATTCATAAAGTTCTTCAACATAAAGATATAAGTCGGTTAGGTTTTTATTTCAATCATTTCAACTGATCATCCATTGTATTAAGTGACAGAGGCCAATATAAGGATGTATTTAACCATTTCCCAAACTGAAGGATATAGGGTTCTAATGCCTTCATATTTTAAATAAAATTGCAGGAAACATCCTTGTATATACTTCCTTGAACATGTGTGCATACTTCTGGAGATTTTGTTGGGCCAAAGGATATGCAACTGAAAAATTATAAATCTAGTTTTTTCATATCTATGGCACAAGTATGATAGATTCCTTTAAAACTAGTTTTCTGCATAAAAACTAAAAAGATATAATTTGAAAAAGAAAGTAAGGAAATGAAGGAAAACTCCATGCAGGAAAACCCTTGGATCAGATATGTCTGAAGCACAAATGCCTAGAATTCAAAGGTTCTTCTATTTTCAAGGCAAACTGAGTCTAATACCTAGTCAGAGCTCACCAGACTTGCTGATAGTACAGGGAAAATATCACAATGACTCCACCAGAGATAAAACCCAAATTCAGGCACTGAGCTAAGATCAGGAGGTCTCACCTTCCTGAGAATTCTGATGCACAGGAAACAACTAGGACATTTGAGATTGGGGTATTTTCTGTTATCTGCCTAAGAGTCTTTTTACACCTGGACTCTAATTCAACCACCTTTGCATATTAGCAGTGAGCATGCTAGGATAGGAGAAGAGGAGTGGGACAGAGCCTGTGATTTCTGATTCCATAACATGTGCTTTTCTTGCAAACTTGATCTGACTTGACCAACATAGGCATAGTTGAGGATCCAGCACTCAAAGAAAATAACCTCTTTCTCCCCCTGTCCAAACTCCAGGCCAATGGAAAGCAACTGCCAGGAAGGAAGCTAAGTCACATTATTACTCCGTTACTGACCAAATCACTGTTGTCTATGGACTCCCATGTCACCTCTACTTTTCTAGTTTGCTCTCACTAGGCACTGGGGATAGGGTGACCAAGTTTAGCAAATAAAACTGCAGGACTCCCAGTTACATTTGAATTGCAGATAAATAACAAATAATCTTTTAGTGTTGAGTCCCACACACTATCAGAACAATAAGCAATGCCAAAGAAATTTAAAGAAGAAAAAGCTGTTTAAATTCAACCGTATTTTAAATTTCCTTGAATTTCCATAGAAAGGTTGGAAGATACAAGTTGAAAAAATTCCAGTAAGTAAAATAAAAGCAAGACATAGAATTGTGATATAAATGAAACTTATAGAATGAATCTAGGAGGCCCAACATCAAAACAAAAATAGAGGACAGAGGGAAAGGAATTATCAAATAATTAAGAATTTCTCCAGAACTGAAGGACACAAGTCTCCAAATTAAATGAGATGACCAAATGCCCACCAAAATAAATGATAAAAGCCATACACAAAGTATTTCATCATGAAACTTCCAATCACTAGGGAGAGAGAGAAAATCCTAAAAGCTTCCAAATGGAACAAACAAGTTACAAACACAGGAGATAGCATCGGAATGGTTTCACTGGCTGCCAGAAAACGACAGAAAAAAATGTCTTTAAAAATCTGAGAGAAAAAAGGTTTTTTTAACCTAGTTTCTTCATTTGGCCAAATCATCATTTGAGTGTAAAGGTAGAATAAAAATATTTTTAAATATTTCAGACACAAAAATGGAGGCTAAAATCAAGAAAAAGGAAGGTACAGTAAGTAGGAATGAGGGATCTGACACTGAAGGGAAGGAAGGGAATTTCATGGGGACAGCTGCCAGGCAAGCCTAAGCCGCAGCTGACCTGTACCTGGTCTGCAATGGTGGAGGAAGACAGAGAACTCCAGGAGGGAGGGCTCCGGTACTAATAAACTCACAGTTTATCTAAGACATCTGAGCACAGGTAGATGACAGATCTAATGGAATAATTAGGTAAGTTCAAAGGCAGTTTTACGGAAAACAAAGCAAGAAGGAAACATGGAATGCTCATAAATAAAATTTATATCATATTAATTTTTTAACTGATTTAACATTAAAAAGTTAACTTTATTGAGAAGGTAGTAGGAAGAAAAACTATACAGTAGGAATGGTTTAAAAATGCTAAATCCTAATCTACTACAACTCAATTATATAATATCTAAAATTGAAAAAGCAAGAATTAATGTAAGTATAAATATATTACATAGAAATGTGGAGGTAAATCTGAGAAAAAAACTAAAAGTGGCTGCCTCTGAGGTATAGATGGGCATGAGTGAAAAAAAGGAACAGCTAATTTTTTTTTCTATTCACTCTATTTGATCTTTAGGTATGTGCATGTATTGCTTTGATTAAAAAAACACTTTATAGTGAAAGGGAGAGGGGTACGCAGAGATATGCAGCAGTGCCTCCCACTCACGGGCTTCCGCTAGTACTTATCACATACGTGTACCAGGGAGCTACCACAGGCTGGGGAAAGAACCAGCCAAAAGCAGCAGGCACAATGATTTTCAGAAATCACAGGTGGTGGGGAAAAGTTGGTATTACCACCAGCTAGCCTGAGTGAAAAAACCTTGTAAACATGGGACACCCAGTTACTGGGAAGGACACTGACCAAATAGTGGGGGAAAATTAGTCCTAGACTTGGGAGTGTTTTGGTCCTATGTAAAGTAGTTTAAAAGGAAGCCTTAAAAGGATCAAATTGTTTCCAAGTAACTTAATTTTGTCTCTGAACAAAGCTCAACCATATTTAATAAAATAAAGTCTCTTCCCATCCTATAATTCACAATGTCTGGCATCCAATAAAAAGTACCAGGCATACAAACAAGCATGGAAATATGACTCATGAGAAAAATCGATCAATCAAAATGACCCAGATATGAGAAAGATGATAGTATTTGTAAACAAGAACATTAAAA